TATATATATAATATATTATATATGTGTGTGTATATGATTTTATTTTATAACTTATCATTATTATTAATGTTTGGAACTGCATGCGGCTGTAATCTTATTTTTTCATAGTTTAAGAACTTTTTTTCAAAATGAAGTTTACTCTATAATTATTATACAGTTCTATAGGCTTTTTCGATGATAAGTCATTTCTACCACAGGCATTTATCCATAATGCCGACCTTTAAGAAACAAATACTTGATAGGTATGCAAGAAAATATATATACTTCATTAATTCAAAAACTAATTGTATAAATACAGCTTAAAAGTGAGAAACTAAAATTAATTACAAATATAAACAAATAAGAAATCTCTCTCTTTCTATAAAATTAACAAAAATTTAATTTTTTACAGCAAGTGAATTTTTTATGACAAGTGGCAAAGTAAATCCTTGTTTAACATTCTGCGAACAAAGATAAAATGATACCTCATACATGCAACGGAAAGCAGTAATTATGACGTATTATTTTATTCTTGTTCATTGAATATTAAAGAAAGATAAAATAATACATTATGCGTATCATGCGTGAAATAGAACGCACAATCGATACAAATATCATTCTTCTATCTTTGTTACTCATCAAATGTTAAATATCAAGGCTTTTATGTTGGTTATATTTTCTGAAAGAAAAGCAAGTCCTAATATATAAAACAATAATAAAATTTATGAAAAAATAATAATCAATCGATTCTTGTGTATAATCACCTTTTTTAAAGTGTTGATTGTTGACAAAAACTGACCTCTTTGAATCTTTTGAAAATCGAAATAAAGTTTCTTTCACTCCTCGATTTGCATTGTGATAGTGCTTTAACAATTTGCTATGCAGCATCGGAAACCTCCCCTGGTACTCATGATGTTCAGTATATTGTTCTTTACTCTATTCTAAATTACTTTTACATTCACGACTAATTGTGACTGCTGTAGGCAGCAGTATACAAAATGAGATTTCCATATTGTTGGTTTTGCGCTATTGTTTATGTGCGAAGAACGACTATTATCTTTTTAAGATAAATGAATCTATATACTTATACTGTTCTCACGTATACTGTGCAATGATATATGATAACTATATTTAATAATTAAATTGTAATAATTAAACTAGTAACTAGATAAATATATATTGATTGTTTGATGATGAAAAAAAATAAAATAAATAAGATATATTCGAAGATATATTCGTGCTTCTTTTTTTTCTCCAATGTCTAATTATGAATCTATCTCACTTTAGGTGCAGAAATGATATAATAGTGTACAAAGAATAGATACTTGATAATTGCTAGTAAGTGCACCATAAATATACTTGCTAATATATCTTGATAACAGTTCATAGTACATTTACGAATTTTTATATATACATATTTCATTAAATTTCATTAAATAATGTGATAAGAATAACAATGACAAGGCAGATCACGACGGTGCTGATAGATCTCAGCGGGACATTGCACATCGATAATACGGCTATTCCAGGTGCTATACAAGCATTAAACAGGTTAGATTACATTTTCAATAATATATACTTACTAACCGGCCACAGTATAATCTTTGTGGAAATGGCGCGATTCAATTTTAAGTATCCTAAATAAAATCCGTAAGTTTAAACTACATTTAGTTTACATAAAAATGTATTATTGATTAAAAGATTGATTTAATAATAAAAAATTATTTTTTTTTGTTTATTGTTTTCTTTTAAGATTAATTTAATGTCTACTTTACTTGACAAATGTCTTGAAGATATTGAATCAGAGTGTGAATGAAGATCTTTTTATAAATTACTAAAATTACTAAAATTACTAAAATTACTAAAATTACTAAAATTAATCAAACGATAAAATCTTATGATTTATTTTTAATATCAGGCAGCTTTTTATTCTTTAGACTTTAGAGAATGATGAATTTATATTTTCATGTTTCAGACTACGAAATGCAAACTTGTCAATTAAATTCGTCACCAATACTACCAAGGAGTCAAGTAATTATTTGTATGAACGTCTGATAAAACTTGGATTCGATTTACGGAAGGAAGAGATTTTCAGTTCTTTAGTAGTAGCGAGAAAATTAATTATCTCTCAACGATTGAAACCAATGTTGTTAATTGATCCAGCAGCAATGGAAGATTTTCAAGATTTAGCAACAAATGATACACCTAATGCAGTTGTGATTGGTTTAGCACCAAGCAAATTCAATTATGAAGAACTAAACAAAGCATTCAAGTAATTTTGCATCTCCTTTTCATCTATATCTTATAAATGTATATATTTTTTAAATGTATAATGTATATATTTTAACGTGGTATTTTAGATTGCTTTTGGATGGCGCTTCCCTCATAGCCATTCACGAAGGACGATATTACAAGCGTCCCGATGGATTAGCTCTAGGTCCTGGGCCATTCATCAAAGGATTAGAATATGCTAGCAATGTGAAAGCAAAAGTTGTTGGTAAACCGACCATAGGATTTTTTAAGGCAGCTTTAGAAGAAACAGATCCAACACAGGCTGTAATGATTGGAGATGTAATATTTTGAATTATGTCATCTTTCCTTTTTTGCATATTATAATCTTTTTACACATTCACAAATATGAATCTTTTATAATTAGGATGTAAAGGATGACGTAGCTGGTGCACAGGCAGCTGGGATCAGAGGTATTCTGGTACAAACTGGTAAATATAGAACAGGAGATGAGAATACAATTACTCCAGAACCAGCAAGAGTATGCGCTTCTTTTGTAGAAGCTGTCGACAGTATTCTTAGTGAAAGTATTTAAAGATTTGTGGTTTGATAAAATAAGTGCATGAATAGCAATAGAATTCTTTATTCAAGTATCGCTGTAATGCGCGATGCAATCTCTTTTCTATATTAAATTATATTTTATTAAATACTGATTATTTTATAGTATACACTGTCTGGAGTGATGCCATATTATTATAAAACAGACGCAATAAATACAAATAAAAATTAATATCAATTTTTTTCTGATATGGAGCTTTATGTCATTTTGCCTATTAATGTAAGTATCGATAGAGTAATGTATTACAAAGATAATCGGATAAATATGAAAGTATTCAAGGATAGAAATATCGTCTCGTTGTACATTTGTAGAAAATTGTAGAAAATTTGACTTGATCAGTTTGACATTGAAAAGTTTGATAATTTACATGTCGTGACAGTAAAATGTAGTATTTTACAAAGCAATCTGCACACAAGCATTCGATCTTTTGCAGAGACGATATTAGTCCATAATCTTAATAGTTCTAAAAATTATAAATTTAATCTTTCGCTACGTAACCTTATGTTATAAGTAGTACCACTGTAGAATCTGCACCTACAACAGGTTTACAAAAAGAAAATGCTGTTTATTAAAAATGTACGGTGCTTTGCGAGTATCGTTTTTCATATAAAATTTGGCACCCAAATTTACTGTTTTGTTCTTTAAATCTCGTTTCTTTTCACATAGATTGAAGAAAGATGAAATCGATATTTTGATTTTTACACCATTAACGTTCTTAAATTAATACTTCGTTTTTCTGTGCAAAAATAACATGTCTGTGAATAAAACGACTAAATTTATTACCTTTTACGAAATGAAATTATATGCTGCTAGAAAATACATAATAAAAACAGATAAAAATTCATGATAATATATAGCTTTTATAATTTATCATTTATCATCATTATTGATAATGTAAAAGAGAGAAATGTTAATATAATTATGTATCTTGTAACTGTATGGGCTGTTTTAAATATCAATGTAAGCCATGATTAAAATGCCCTCTGTAACTTATGATCTATGATCAGGCACATCTCGATTGCTCGCATTATGGTAACAAATGTCTAAAATAAGTGCTTTAAAAAAATAAAGAATGATTACTCTTGATTCATGCGAGAAATCTGTATAAAGAATAGGAATATATACATTTCCAGAGAACTATGCAATGAACTGAACAATTAATTGATTCTAGATAATCGTTATGTAAATAAAACCATATAGTTATAATATCATTAATAAATTGAAATAATTTCAGATCGAAGGCAAAATGTACAATTTTCATTACTTGTCATATATCATGTCGAGATA